AAAAAAAACGCACAAAAATAAACCGTTCAAGGTTCAGTTTTATTAGATCCAGTAAGACCAGCTTTCACACGAACAACATTCTTTGACGATCTCTTTGACATCCCCTTACAATTTATCCAGAACAGTTTTGACAAAATAAATCTGCGATAGTCTTTTATGAATGCAAATATTGTTATAGGACTTATCAACGGGAATAGTGCCATCATTATTCCAATGGTGATGCCTAACCAATGTGGTGATGTAGCTCCAGTAAAGAGTAGACCATACATTGTATACAGTGGAATATGGAGAAGAAAAATTGGGCAAGCAGTCTGAAACATGTTCTGGAAGTAATAGTAAAGCTTATAAAAATTTAATTTATCCTGAACAAAAATTAAAGTGACTCCAGTTGCACCGGTACATATTCTCAAAGATGAAACATTCGCGAACAGAGTTAGTCTTTGGTATTGAACTTGCTACTTTATTTGTAAAGTATACTTGCCATATTCAAGACACACTTCATAATATTTTTAAGGTATCTACTTTTAGACGAGTGATGGAAGTGATATTCCAGAAAAGTGCATAAGTGGCAATGAAAATGCGAAAATTGGTGCATTCAGAGAGATATGAAGCTCTAAAAAAGTTGTAAGATTAGAGATTGGGCGAGAATGTGGCCGCAAAAGTTGCATGGAAGGGATGTTCAAACAAGCTCTCCATAGTCTTCGTGCCGTTGCGTACAGCTGGCTATAGTAAGCTGCTCCGTGCAACGTGTGCGTCCCGTCGCGAATGTTGAAACCTCTGACGCATCTACGGCGCTGTGACAACTCGTCCAACTTTGAGTGTGCACATAGGTTGAGCCGGTCTTGAGGCCCTTATAACGCACAATCTCGGCCATTTTTGACTCCGCAGGGTAATATGGACCACAAGCTCATGTTGGGAGGAAAACTTAATAACAGGCTCTATCGTGAAGTGTGGCCTCGACGAAGGAACAATAGAAATGATATGGAGAACGATGCAACGAAAATCATGGAAGATGATAGAATAGGTCATTTGCTGAAGGTTTTTGCTGATTTTTCCGTGGCTTACAGAATGATCCCCCAAATTGTATCTCGGAAAGGCTATCCAAGACTAATTTAACTTAGGTGGCTATACTGAAGACTTCTTGACTTTTTTTCTTCATTACCTGAATCAGCAGTAGGGTCAAAATCTGGCGATGACTCGTGCGTGTCAGATTGCTCATTGACATCCGAGAAATGAAAAGTTGAATCATCACTGCACATAAAAGGCCGACACATCCAACCAGGAACATCATCACCAGTGCTTCCACCAGTAAAATATATGAAAACATAGTTAAACCATGCTGAAAACACATCGAATGTTCACTTTGGACTGCTTTGGTGATCGAATTTAGGTTAACTTTCGTGCATATTTGATTTGAATAGGATAATCGACGAAATGTGGTATAGTAGCAAGTGGAGCACTATCACACCATATGATCAGAGGATCGAATCCCAAGTCAGCACCCCACCCAGGCCACTTCCCTTCTGGGTCGAATGAATGGCACCAGAATCGCTTGGGAGAATGAATCCACTGATTTCTACATGGACTGGTTAGCGTAACCCATAGCATAGTCCACATATGCACCTTCAAAACACTCCTACATACATTTCTGAATGGAAGCCGGAAGCGGGCGCATCCCAAAAAGGGTTTGGAATGACGCCAGGGATTTTATCCTTTTCTCAAGTACTTTTCCAGGCACGTTCTTGACGATAGAGACTCCTCCCGCTAACTTTCCCATATTTGCTATAATTGTTGAAAAAATTGCAGATCACCCTACAACTTACTAGCTTTAGATATGTCAGTATGATAAAAGAAACTTACATAGAGTGAAATTCCCATAAAGGTAGCTTGGAGAAGATCGAAGTTGTAAAAATTGAGTACAATATTCCTGAAGTAGTGGGTGAACTCCTTGCTTGGCCATCCACAAAACACATTCATCAACAGCCAGTTCACAATAACAGCAGCGTTGATGAAACCAATCAAGAATAGCCACTTTGTCGAAGCATAGATATTCGATTCTAGAGGTCTACAATATTTGAAACTTATCAAGGAGGAGAAACGCATCGCTCTGATGATTATGCCGTTAAGAATAGTGGGGCAATAGATTTGTATTTGAGCAAAAAAAAAA